ACCTTATCCAGAGAAGCCAGAGATGGGGACATGGAGAGGGGGAGTGGCTGAGGACTCTAGATTCATGGACTAAGAAGAAAACGACTAAGAGCTGGTGGCCAGGAGCAGATTTGCAGAATGTGCCCTTTGGAGATGTAATTTATTATATATGCCTGAGTGGGGTTTTTTGTTTGTGTGTTTTTAAAAAAGCTAAGTGGATAGAGTAAAATGCTGTTAACTGATGGTACATGGAGGGGATTGTAATCAATGTAATGAAACAAGGTATATGATATGTTGAATGTAAAACTGATGATACGCCCTGTGAACTTTCACTCAATCCACAATAAAAATCTTAAAAAAAAGAGATAAAGAAGGGCATTATGTAATTTTAAAAAGGTCAATCCAGCAAGAAGACATACAGTTATAAAAATGTATATACCTAACAGCAAAGCACTAAAATACATGAAACAAAGACTAATATGAAAGAAGAAATATGTCAATTCCATATAGCAGGAGACAGCAACAAACCTTTCAATTACAGGCAGAAATTCTAAAAAGAATTTAACTAAGGACACTGAGAACTTATAAAAAACTTTAGGTTAAATTATTTAAATATAACCTAATGGACATATTTGGGAGTCCTGGTGTGGTGCTGTGGATTAATGAGTCAGATTGCAAAGTCGTTTGAACTGCAAGGTCAGTGGTTCAAGCTCACCAGCCACTCCTTGGAAACCCTATACAGGGTCACTATGGGTTGGGATCGACTCGATAGCACTTAACAACAACAACAAACCCAGCATCAGAACAACACACATTCTTCTTCAACACATGTAATCTTCCACAACAGACCATATAGTAGGGCACAAAACTAGTCTCAACAAAGTTAAAAAAATAATAAATTCATGCAAAACACCTTCTCTATCACAGTATGAAACTAAAAATCAGAAACAGTAAAAATAAGGGAGGAAAACAGCAACATGGAAATGAGGTAATACACTACTAAAAAACTGTTGGGTCACAGAAGAAATCCAAAGTAAAAATTTTTAATTCCTAGAATCAAATAAAAACACATCATACCAAAGCCTTTGGGAAACAACAGCAGCAGTATTCAGAGGGAAATGAACAGCAATAAATGTCAAAATCATTCATTTAAACCAACAATTTGAACAAACAGAAAAGGAAAAACAAAAGAAGCCATAAGCTACCAGTAAAACAGAAATAATGAAAGACTGCGCAGATAGAAATGAAACAGAAAATAATAAGGAATCAACAAAGCCAGAATTGAGCTCTCTGAAAGGGTCAATAAAATAAACAAACCAATGGCTAAACCGACAAAAGAAAAAAAAAAATCAGACAAGACAAATAACCAAATTAAGAAATGAAACTGGTACCATTACAACCAAGCCAACAGAAATAAGGAAGATCATAACTGACTACTGTGAAAAATTGTAAACAAATGAAAAATCTAGATGAAATGAACAAATTCCTAGAAACATACTACATACCCAAACTAACACAACCAGAGGTAGAAAATTTAAACAGGCCTATTAAAAAAGGAGGAGTTCTAGTACGGAGCTGTGGGTTAATGTGCTGGACTGCAAAGTCAGTTTGAACTACAAGGTCAGCAGTTCAAGTTCACCAGTCGCTCCTTGGAAACCCTAAACAGGGTTGCTAATGGGTCAGAGCTGACTCGATGGCACTTAACAACAACAATTAAATTATAAAAGGAGACCTAATGATGCACTGTAGGATAAGCACTGGATTGCTAACCACAAGGTTGGCAGTTCAAACACACCTGTCGCTTCTTAGAAACCCTATATAAAGTCACTATGAGTCTGACCTGACTGGATGGCACTTAATAACAACATTATAAAAGAGAAGATGAAAAAAAAAAAAAAAAAAACACCTGCCAACAACTAAAAAAGTCTAGGACCAGATGGCACACTGAGAATTCTACCAAAAATTCAGAGAAGAGTTAACACCAACCCTACTTAATCTCTTTCAAGATTAAAAGGGTGGTTCAACATTTAAAAAGTCATCAATGTAGTCTACCATATAAATAAAAGAATATGATCACATCAACTGATGAGGGCAAGTCATGTGATAAAATTCAACACCCTTTACTGATCAAAAAAAAAAACCCACAAAAAACTAAAAAATAAGAACAGAAGAGATAAAGTCATATATACAAAACCAACATCCAATATTATACTCAACAAAGAAAGGCTAAGAACCTTGCTTTTGAAAATGGGGACAAAACAAGGGCACTCATTATCACTACACTTTTTCAACATTGTTCTCGAAGTCCTAGCCAGAGCAAAAAGACAAAAAAAATAAATAAAAGGTATGCAAATCAGAAAGGAAGAAGTAAAACTACCTGTATCTGCAGATGATTTGACCCTATAAATACACAGAAGATCCTAAAGAGTCCACCATAAAACTGCTGGAACTAATAAAATAATTCAGTAACATGGCTATAATTAATACACAAATATCAGTTGGGTTCCTTTACATTAACAAAGACTACTCGAAAATAGTTAAGTCTCTTCTAGCCATAGTCTTTGTAATTCCCTTCAAACAACTGTTTCCTGCTGGGCCTATGTGGGGGAAGATGCTGGTAGGATTATACATTTCAGGTGACAGTGACTGTTAACAAGATTGTGATTGTAAATACTTGGAAATTGAACGAGGAGCTTAGTCAATTTTGCCACCCTGCTAGGAATAAAATGAGTGATGTGACACCTGACCTAATTTAACAGTTTCCATAGCCTGTGAACCAACAACCAGGGAAAGACTGAGGAACAGACCATCATCAAATGTTCAGTTGAAGAAAATTAAAACAAGCAATCTTTAGCACATGCCACCAGAATTTGGAGATCATCACGAGAACAGAGTTGATGCATTAGACACTAATGACCAAAGACCAGAGGACTTGTGGGATGACATCAAGAACATCATACATAAAGAACGCAAAAGATCATTAAAAAACAAGAAAGAAAAGACCAAAATGGATGTCAGAAGAGACTCTGAAACTGGCTCTTGAGCAGAGAAGCTAAAGTGATAAGAAACAATGAAGTAAAACAACTAAACAGAAAATGTCAAAGGATAGCTCAAGAAGACAAAATAAAGTACTATAATGAAATCTGCAAAGACATAAGAGTTAGAAAACCAAAAGAAAAGAACACATTCAGCATTTCTCATGAAGAAAACATTCAGGTCTCAGGGTCCTGGTGTGGTGCTATGGTTAATGTGTTGTGCTGCAAAACTAATGCACTGGACCCAGGAGGTCACTGTGGGTTGGAACCAACTCGATGGCACTTAACAACAACAAATGGTAAAATGAAGTCTTGGTGTGGTGCTGTAGGGTAAGTACTGGACCAAAAGCTTGAACCGCACGGTCAGCAGTTCAAACTCACCAGCCGCTCCTCAGACATCCTATAGAGGGTTGCTACAGTACTTAACAACAACAACATGGGCAAAATGTTGGATGATGCAGGAAGCATCAAAAGAAATTCACATCAGATTTAGAAGAGGATGTAGAAGGAGGGAAACATACCATTGATGATGTCAGACAGATTTTGGCTGAAAGCAGAGAATAACAGAAAGATACTTCCTTGTGCTTTATTGACTATGCACAGGAATTCAACTATGTGGAATGGAAAATTAATAAAAAGATCACAGAAGAATCAATGCACTTGAATTACCATGTCAGCGAAGAATATTAAAGTGTTTGGACTGCCTGAAGAATGAACAAGTCTGTCTTTGAAGAAGTACAGCCAGAGCACTCATTAGAAGTGAGGATGGTGAGAATTCTAGATAGTAGAATAGACAGATGCACTACACGAACCCTCTACAATCAAGATACAAAAGATCAGAGGAAAAAGACATGAAAATCCTGGGACCCTGAACTTCAGACGAAAGGTTTGAGAAAGGTAATCAAAGCCATTAGAACAAGAACTCATTTTCAAATAGGGGTGCATGTATGTGCAATGCTGTAACAGACTACATTAAAGGAAAACCACTACAAACTGAAATAATATTTGCTTCACATCATGTAAGTACTTTCATATACTTACTAAATTATTAAATTAGCCTAAACGATGTAAAACATGTTATTTTGAGTCACCTTATTGTACTTCTGTCGTCTTACAGAATCTAGTTTCCTGCTGATATCTCTGTTGGTGGCCGCTTGAGGGGTAAGCTGTCCAATAATTTTATTGATTTGCCTGAGGGATGTCATACATGACCTGAAAAATAAGATAAATTGTATAGTTCCCAGTCTGGTAACATTTTTATAATATTAACAGAGAAATGCTAAAAACCTGAAATGCTAAAAATATAAAAGAAACTGTTAATTCTTATTCATTAAAAGAAGAGAAACCCAACCAGAATACATATTCTTACGGGTCACAAATATAACTTGAAGTTTGAGATCTAAGATTGACAACTTAGTGGTTTGCAGTCATCTGGCTGTTGAGTGAAATCAGCTGATTCATTCAAGCACCATTCTTTAAAAGGTGCTGTAGATCAACAATGAACTGCGAACCACAAAAAAAAAACCCTGGCATTGTTTGTTTTGCAGCAGGCCATTAAGAGGCAGTGTGTACCCCGAGCAGTGAGATTGCTCTCACCAAACTCCTTCCTGGGAACTACACTCAACAGCTCACCATCAAGCCACCATAGCTTTGAACTGTGTCTGTAAATGCCGTCTGTTAGTGTGATTTTAGGCTTTATGTGCTATTTGGTATGGTTTCCTACAAAATCATGCCATATAAATTCATGGTAATTGCTTCTTCCCTTTAGCCATTTCAGGTTAGGAAAGGTTTCATAGGAACATTCCACTTTCAGAGAGTGGGGAAAAGTAAGACATCGAACTGTAGTATTCAATGTTCAAAACACAAATGAAATCTTCTCAAAACGAGTAATTTGGTGTTTGTATACTTTGTGAATTTCAGAATAAAATGTGTTTTCCATTAGAGTCAGTGGCTGTCTAAGACATCATGTGTAACCATCCACTAGGCACTACTCAGCCTTGGATGGCAGTACTCTCCTAACATCAACTCTGTACAACTGGACACATGACAAATAGAGGAAGGTCAGAAGACAACTATGCAAGAACCCCTGCTACTTAGGTGCTCATCAACTGCTCCTAACTGATCACTGAGAGAGGAGTGTGGGTGACTGGCACACAAACACACTCAGTCCTCCACACGCTCCCCTGTCCTTTTCTTAGCCCTCCTTTAGCCCAGGACTCCTGGTGTGGCGCTGTAGGGTCAGCACTGGACTGTGACCCACACACCAGCAGTTCACACTCACATGTGGTCATCCAGGACTGACTGATACTGCTTCTCGGCATCAGCAAGCTGGACTGCACGGCTGGCTTCGTGAATGGCGTCATCCACCTGCTGCAGCACCCCCTGTTCCAACACTTCCTGGTCATACACATCCACACCCAAACCCTGCAGCTCAAGGGCCTGAGCACTCAGCTCCACCGCCTGGATCTGCAGTCTGTCAATTTGCAGCAGGGGCAGCCCTCTCCTTAGAACGTCCCTTGCCTGGCCCGGAGCCGTTGCAGACAGCCCATTATCAGAGGAACAAGATGGGAGGCTTTCATCCACCTCTGTCTCTGGCACACCATATTCTTGATTGACTGTCATTTCTTCATTGCTGACACTTTGTTTCTGTAAACAGTCTTGGTTCTGAGTTTGATTTGGGTGGGGGGTTCTCTCTTTTGACATACTGGACAGCTAACCAAAAGGTCGGCAGTTCAAACTCATCAGCTGCTCCCATAAAAATGTACAGCCTCACAAACTCTATGAATCAGAACCAATTCGATGGCATGGAGTTTTTGGTTTGTTTAGATAATCTAAAATGGAAAAAAAATTAAAAGTTAAGCCTTTTGGCTACAGAGAATTGATGCTATGTAGTTTCTTAACTATTTTTTAACTAAGCAAAACTGATTTCTCAAAAGATCAAGTAATAATCCTCCAATTACTAAGTTCAAATTATACGTATTAATTGTCTTACAAAGGCACAAACTATGTCTTCTCAAGTTCTGATAGGGAAAAAAACAGAAGAAAGGGCATGCAGGTGACCAGCTGCTAAGAAAGTCATCAGCAAACAGAATCCTGAGTGACACCCACAGTCTCCAGAGCAGATGAAGACACCTGGCTACTGTCTGTCAACTTAGCATCTGTATTGTGTTGTGACACAATGATTTCTATTATAGTGACACTATCAACTGTAATGTATAGATTTAGTGATGTAAGCAGAGTTTCTATAGGAATCTAACATTAGCAACTTCTTGGTTGAATATCCACTCCAATAAACAGGAACTTTAAACAAGAAAAGCAGACAACCTAAATCAGAATCTGAGAAAGATGAAAATATTCTCAAAAACAGTTCTACTTCAGTAATGCAGTATCATTTCTTACCAGCAGTTTGGTCAGAATTACTCTGATGACATTCAGTATAGACCAGGAGAGGGTCCACCACACATTCTGCTGATGAGAATATAAATTAGTAAAATCGTTCTGGATGGCAATATTTATCACAATTTCAAATGCACATGATCTACCCCACAAATTCGAATTCTTGGTATTTATTCCAAAGAAATACTCACAAATATGTGTTAAGAATGCTTACTACATGTTTTTAATAGTTTAATGTGGCCATTATGTAGTTCCAGTGGTACTGACACACAAGCCATGTTAAGGGGCCCATTTACATTGAACACATTTTATACATGCATCTGTGGATAAGGAAAAAGATCTGAGAGCTACACACTAAATCTGCAACAGGTGGTGGAGTGGTGGGAAGCCAAAAGAATATGTAGTAATAGAGAAAAACTTTCACGTTTTCCCCTTTGAATAGGAATTATTTGAAAAAGAATGTATTCGTTATATTAACTGTACAACTATACTATCTGACAAATACATTAAAAAGCACCATAGTATACAGGCTTCTATTCAACTAAGATTAAGGTTTCTTTCAGAAGTGAAATGTCACTTCTATGAAAGGACCACGCTGAAAAGCAGAGGTCACTGCACAGATCCCAGCTCACGGCGCATCCTGTGTGTCAGAGTAGACTTGCACTCTATGGGCTTTTCAGAAGCAGACTGTTAGGACTTTCTTCCAAGGTGTTCTCCAGTCTTTTAGTTAACAGCTACATGCATTTAACCATTTGCACTACCCAAAGATTCTGAAATGACCATAAGGCCCATTCTTTCCTGTTAACGAAAACACAGCACTATCAATACAAAGCTGCCAATAACATAGCTCCCTGCCCTGAATGGAGGCGAGTTCGTCAATACCACAGGAGAGGCACAGACAAACCAACACAGTGGGGAGAACAAGACATTGCCTCTAGGGGCCAAGAAAGAAACACCATGAAGGAGAAAGGTGACGCCTACGGAGTGCTGAGTATTTGCTGAAAGGAAGTACGAGACAGAGAAGAGTCTAAACAAATGTTTTGTCTGGTCTGGGCACCAGAATCACAGGTGAATTCAGTCACAAGAAAGGGACTCTCTTAAAAGGGAGCGCACAGGAGGTCAGGAGAGGGGCCAGTGTGTTGTTGGTATGTTGTTGGTCCATGCCCACCATACAGTCAGAAAGGCCTTTCTGGAGCTGTAGATAAAGTTCTGCATTAGATCTGCATGTGCCAAAGACTACGATAAATGACAGGCCCCAGACAGCATTGTAGATGGTGAAAAGATGCTGGAACTGAACAGGTTAAAAGTGAGCAACAGAGTGAGAAAGTCACTCCTGTTTGATTATTTTCAGGAAAAGTATTAACTGGTGTTGTAGCAAAAAACAAAAACACACTGCCGTTTAGTTGATTCTGACTCATAGTGACTCTATGATTTACAGAGCCTGTAAATCTTTACAGGAGGAGAAAGGCTCCTCTTTCTCCAATGGAGCATCCGGTGGATTTGAACTGCTGACCTTGTGGTTCACAGCCCAGTGCATATCCCCTACAGTTACAAAGAAAAGACAGGACTCTGGCTCAAAGCCTTCATGCTGTTGTTACTTGCTGTTTAGATGTCCATGACTCATGGCTACTAACCCCCAGATAAGAGAACAAAGCGCTGCCAGGCCCTATGCGAGCTCCATAAATGAGATGTGGGACTGTTAAGACCCATACAGCGCTCTCACCGCCTGGTCTTCAAATCCCCAGACCTTTCTTGCAAATGTTAAGATCGTCATCACAGCAGCATGCAAGCCTCCACTAGCATATGGGTGGTGGCTGGAAACTGAACCTGGATCTCCTACATGGAAGGCAAGAGTTCCACCACTGAGCTGTCAGGCCTTTCTACCCAGCTAGAACTGTAAAAATAGGTTTTCAGTGTTCCAGTTGTTTGTGGCAAAAAGGTGTCATTTTTAAAAACTATCAATTCAACCAAAAATGCTAAGTATTAGTATTATAGTACAAAGATGTTCAAAGAAAACATCTAATAATAAAAAAGAAGCAGAGAGAATGTTCAAAACTGAAAAATAATGGCAAGTTGACCTAAGGAAGTCAGAAAGGGTCTAGTGGATTTGGAAGCTACCAGGTCACTGACTGATCTTGTTAAAACAAACTTGGGAACAATGGGGACAAAACCCAGACCATGTTGGACAGGCAATAAGAAAATGGAGACTTTGTTGTGGAAGAGAAATAAATGGAATGATCAGGTAATAATGCATTGACAATAGCGTAATAATGCATTGACAATCTGAAAAACTAGAGACTGTAGTTTAACTGGAAGGAAAATAAGGAGACAACAAACAGAAAGTTGTACAAGAAGAGACAGAAGCCAGGAAAGACCAAGAAGGTGTAATACATGTTGCTCTGAGTCCCGTAGAAAAAAGATGCTACCTACATTTGCAGGTGGACAAGAAGGAAGTGAGGTGGACCCTACAGAAAACATGCTATGCAGTACAAAGTGTGGCCATTTGCCGAGTCGGGAACCAAGTTAGGCTGGGGGCTGGAGAGGAGTATCAATCTGCCAACAATTGCACAGTCTGTACAGGTTTCTCCTTCAGTAATCAGTACTCATGGAGACAATGTTCCTTTGGGGTTTTCCGATTAGAAGTTGCAGAAGGATAAAAGGGCCATGGGGAAAAAAGCAGTTGAAGTAACTGACCTTTGGATCTAAGCTGGACAGGTTTTTTTAAAAAAAAAAAAAAAAAAAAAAAGACTGGACTTGGGAGAAAGGAAAGAGGTCCAAAGAGTCAGGCTGTGGCCTAGAGGGCAAGAATCCTGGGAGCGAGAATTGGGAACCCAGAATCTGTCATCAAAAGGTGAAGAACTACTAGTTATTGGCCCTACAGAGCCTGGCGTCTCTCAGAGAAGATACACGTTTAAAAAGTGTGTGTGGCATAGTGGGTTATGCATTGTGCTGTAAATCACAAGGTCAGTAGTTTGAATCCACCAGCTGCTCCATGGAAGATGAGGTTTTCTGCTCCCATAAAGATTTATAGTGTGAGCAACTCTATGTAGGGTCGCTAAGAGTTCAAAAGGAGTCCTGGTGTGGCATTGTTGGTTTAATGCGCTGGACTGCAAAGTCTACTTGGACCACAAGGCTGGGGCTTCAAGCTCACCAGCTCCTCCTCTGAAATACTCCTCAAAACCAGACTCTACAGCCACAAGAACAACATGAGTTGGAATCAACTCAGCACACAATCACCACTACCACCAGACAGGAGCTGAAGGATGAATAGGAGTTAATCAGGCCAAAAGTGAGGTAAATATTTTGCAAGCAAAAAAACATGATGTAAATATCTTGCAACCTAAGGTTAGAGAAGAGCTTTGGTGCATTTGAGGAAATTGAAGAAGGCTGGAGTACAATGAGAATTTGTTTTTGTTTACAGGAGTCCTAGTGACACTGCAGGATAAACACTGATCTGCCAACCTAAAGGTCTGAGGTTCAAACCTACCAGCCCCTCCACAGGAGAACAATGAGGCTTTCTGCTCCAGTAAGGATAAACCGCCTCAGAGATCCTATACTGGGTCACTATGAACCAGAATCTACTCCCGGGCAGTGGGCTTTTTACAGGAGTAATTTCGGAGTTCAAAAGCGCTGATAATGACTCCATTAACTGTGTAAACCTTAGAGGATATCTTCTAATGGTCTGCTACACTTTATCATTAGAGCAAAGAATAGTCTTCACTACCTTCTCCCTTGGACACTAAAGGGTTTGTGGCCAGGTGTAAGCTGGATCCTAGTGAATGAAGTGGGTTGAGTTGTATGCATGCAGTTGGAGGTGGGGGCGACAAATGGAGGAGGGACACTGGACCAGACAGCGCAGGGTCTGGGAAACCATGAGCTTGAACTGTACTCCAAGTGCAGTGGAGTGACTGGAGAATTTTAAGCGGGGTGACGACACAACCATTTTTACAGTCCAAAATCGGGTGGGCTCCTGTAACAAGGGACTGCAGGAAACTATACAATCAGTACATGATGGCTGACAATCGGGTGAAAAGTGGCCACAGCTTGAAAAAGAACGAGAGTTACAGTATTTACCCCTAGTGGATGATCCTTCTCGTACTCCATCGTGACAGGTATGTACTTATCCCGATTCGCTCTTTCAGATAACTCATTCAATTATTTCCATCAAGATCAAACATGCCCGAGGTGATCCTGCGCCCAGAACCTAATACGAGTCCAGTTAATAAATGCTAAGGGAATAAACATCAGGCCTGCTAAATCCCAGGACCACCCGGCCCCCGGCTGACCCAAGTGAGCGCACTCGGCGA